TCCCGATTTCAACAGCGTTCGCTTGTGCCGACCTCCACAAATGTCGGAATTCATGATTACAACTTCCCCGAAAGACTGCAGATCTATGTGACCAGCAACACATACACCTGTTCCAGGACGACCAGTCACCAAGCACGCAAAACGTGATTCTAGAATTTCCCCGAACGACCAGGACGACCACTCCGAACCGCGAAAAGCGTGATTATAGAATTTCCGGATCGCCATCATCGTAGCTCCGGAAAGTCCAGAATGTCGAAATAGTATCGGCTACGCCATATCATTTCGGGAATGCCGAAGCAACATTCTGGCAATTCCGGAATCACCAATATGAATTCCAGAAATTCTGGGAATTCCGGAATATCGGAATCGCGTGCTTGGCGACAGGGCGTCATGCAATGGGCATTTTTGTCGCTGTTCAGATTGGATGGCGGTCGCCTGGGGAGTCGGAGTGATATATCTTGACTTCTGTTCGAAGCGGTCGACACAAAACTAGTGTCGTCGAAATCGGAATGCAACGCTCTTGTGACTATCGTATACAGTCGGGGCCCTGAAGAAGGAACCCTTTTCGTTGGGGAGGGGCTCCGTGTTCCTTGATTGTTTCACAGCTTGCCCTAGGTTTTCCTCAGGGCTTCGATGGGAAATCGAACCTTCACTGATGGGAAAAGGGGCCTCGTTCCTTAATTAGGGTTCCTCAGGTCAACGTCCCGACTGGACCACACCCGTCTCCGACCTCTTCAAAGGTACCCTTCCCGATGCGTGCTGGCATGCGGGGGGCAAGGATGCTGCTTGGCTAGGGCCCCTTGCATCGTGGGGGTCGGAGAGTGTTTGTTTTGTTTTGCTCCTGTCGGCACGCTCCAAGATCCTTGCCTCCTTGCAGGTCGTCCTCATCGTTGATTTTGGCTGTAAGGGAACTGGCCCGCCAGCAGAATGCCCACGGACATTTCCTGGTCTCTTGGCGTCGCCGGACGCCCGTCGGAGTTTCAGGGGCATCGTTTGGTCGGCCGAACAGTGTGCCCCGACGTAGATCTCTTATAGCTGTGCGCCTCAGCGTGTGTATCTACTCTGCGCGCAGCACTCCGCGATTCAATAGTATTGCATAGTATTGCTCCGCCCCCTCTCGCCAGCAGGTGACGCCCAGAAAAGCCTAGACTTTGCGAGTCTTCTGGCACTCCAGGATAATTAACCTGGTTCGAAGCTGTTCGAAGCTGGTGCCCTGACATTGTTTGTGTCAAAGCTGGCCTGGGCGGAGAATGATGATGAGGATGACGATGAATATCATGCAAAGGGATCGGACACGTTCTGTGGTCGCTCGAGGGGGAGCGAGGTTCTATTCCGCCTTCCCTTAATTACCATCCCAGACGCCCAGAAACTTGGGGGCCTCCCTTCCCCAAACCTGGGCCGGACCCAACCACTCCTGCATCCCTTTTCTCGCAGGGGGGAGAGTTTTACCCCCCTCGCCCTCGGGGACGAGGAGGAGGACGAGGAGGAGGAGGAGGACGAGGAGGAGGAGGAGGAGGAGGACGACGAGGAGAAGGAGGACGAGGAGGAGGAGGAGGGCAACGGCGACGATGAACGTAACAAGCTTGGCCTTAATGTTTGCCTCACGTAACGACACGACGACGACGACGACGACGACGACGACGACGACGACGACGACGTGTCCCTTTCGCCCGCTCGCCCGCCCGACCCTCTCGCCCACGACGACAAGCAGAGTGGGGTGGTATTTTGTTCGCCCACCCCGTATTGCCACGTGGCGACTAGAGTTCTATGTTTGTTCGCCTCCCGCGTTGCCACGTGACGAATCGAGTGGCGTAGTATTGGTTTCACCCCCTGCGCTGCCACGTGACGAGCAGAGCGGTGTCGTCGTCGTCGTCGTCGTCGTCGTCGTCGTCGTCGTCGTCGTCGTCGTCGTCGTCGTCGGTCGTTGGTCGTCGGTTAGTCGTTGTCGTCTTTTTTGTTTGTCGTCGTCGTTTGTCGGCGAGGGGGCGGGGATGGGGGTGGGAATCTTCCCGCCCCCCTTGTGCGGGGGTGGGAGGGTTCTGCGTGAAGAGGGGAAATTGGGTGAGGATTGCCAGTCCGCCTGGTTCTTTGGATGTTGAGGGGCGTCCACGGTTTTCAACATGCCTGGGGATGCTCATCACCCAAGCGCCTGTGAAGCGCGTTCTTCTCAAGAGGGGGGACGGGCAGGGTCACTGGACTGTTCTGGGCTATATTGGGCAATCTATCTTGGGCTACCTTTGAGGTCACCATCGCACCATCTCGGGGCGCTTCGGGGTCGTGTTCTGCCCCATCTTGGAGCCTGGCGCCGAGGAGGGCGCGGCATCGACAAGTTTGAGTCCGTGGCGGGTTCGGGGCTCGCCTCGGAACAGACGGTAGCAGCGCAACACCGCTCGTCTCGATGAAGTTCCGAGCACATGGCAGACGCGCCTCGTGCAAATTCTCGCATGTGGTGCTCCTCGAGCTGGCAGGTGCCCTGGCCTGCGAACTTCGGGCCCACGTCTGCCCACCGCACTGCTGCGACCGAGCCTGGCCGCGATGCAGCATTGGCATACCTGTCCCCGTGCCCCGTGGGACAGGGCTGCTTCCGTGCCGCCAGCCTGCCTCCCCGAGGTGGGGATGGATGCCGTCAGCCCCGACGGAGACGGCAGCTGTCCCCACCTTGGGTCTGCACGCACGAAATGGGTACTGAAAGAATGGGCACAATGCCCAACAGCAGTTCCTGTTCATTGTGAACAGGACTCGCAGGCTTGTCCATTCGAGACAGGAGGCCGCCTGACCAACAGCGGCTGCTGTTGGCTTGGGACAACATTTGCTGTTGGGCATCGTACCCATTTTTTCGGTACCCATTTCGGGCGTCCAAATTGGGGGGGGAGGTCGGACAGCGGGACCAAGGCTTTCCCAGGTCCAGCAGCGCTGGGCGATGGCTCTCCCACGGCAGGCTTGCACTGGCCTCAGCGTGTGCGCTCTGTCGAAAGGGCCGTCGCAGCGGGATCGTGGGCAGATGTTGCAGCGTGGAGCCGCAGCAGGGCGGGATGCCTCCAGTTCTGCCGCAGGTGTCATCCACAGGGACCTGAAGCTGGAGAACATATTGGTCTCCTCGCAGCAGAGGCGGGGACAGGGGTGCCGACGTCGGCAGACATCCCAGGCACTTGTGCATGGGCCAATGTCAGCCCCAGTGAGAGGCTGGCGTTTCCTTCCCTGGTGCTACCGCCAGTGCCAAGTATGGGGGCATGCCCTCTAAGCCGGTGCTCTCTCTGGAAGCTCCTGAGGTCGACGATCCAGGGTTATTTCTGGCCTAGATGTGCCCCCCTTTTCACGTTCTGATTGCAGGATGTCTCATCCCTGGTATGAGCTGCGTTGCGTTAGATTTCCAAGTTTTCCAGGACTGCTGTATCCTCCCCTGCAGGGCTTTCTGGCTCCGATTCGGACCTCACGCAGGCAGAAAGTGCGGCCTTCTGAGAAGAACCCAGGCTGTCCGAGGGGGGGGCCCTGCTCCTCACGCATCACCCGTAAAGCATCCTCCCTCCCCCCCTCCCCTTTTTTTCGTCGCAACAGTCAACAATGCGCTGTGCTGGAGGGCTCAGGGATGGTGTTTTGGCGATTTCGTGGGCCGTTTTCATTTCGATTTCGTTTTGCGGTAAAGGCGGATTGGAGACAAATCGAGGGAAAACGAACACAACCCGACAACGAAAAACACCGTTTAGGTTCAGCCCTGGGAGGGCTGCCGCGGAGAGCTGCAGGCCCCGTTCTCAGCTGAGCCGTTGCCGTGCTTGCGGGCTCGCGTCGATGCAACAAGGGAAGCAGGGGTCATCCCTTTCTTCCAGACGCATGCAGCTGGCACGAGGGTTACGAATCACCCCGGCTGTGGAGGGGTACCCTGACGTGCTTCGTGCTTGGGCTCTCCACACTGGAGTGTTTGACCCCCGTTCGTGTGCCGGTGCTGCGATGCCGTGGAAAACAAGCAGGGCTGATTCCTCGGATCCAACGCTGGGCATCCTGCAGGCAGCGATCTAATGCGCGATTGCCCCGTTGGCCTACTGGTGTCCACACGCAGCTCGCTCGCCCATGAGAACCCGATCGGAGCGCAACGCTGAGTCTCAATGGGGCTCTTTTCAGGTTTCAGCTCTCAGCTCCTTGACATCGTTTCTCTTGGTACGCTTGCCTTTGTGAGTCATGCTCCGCAGCAGCAAGCCCGTGGGCACCACGCCGGTTGCAGGACGCGGGGGGGAGGGAAGGGTAGAATGAGGGAGGAAAGGGAGGTGGGGCAGGCGGAGCGGAGGAGTAGAAGCAGGAGTAGAAGCAGGAGGAGGAGGAGAAGCAGGAGGAGGAGGAGGAGAAGGAGCAGGAGGAGGAGGAGGAGGAGGAGGAGGAGGAGGAGGAGGAGGAATAGAAGCAGGAGGAGGAGGAGGAGGAGGAGGAGGAGAAGGAGCAGGAGGAGGAGGAGGAGGAGGAGGAGAAGCAGGAGGAGGGTGAGGAGGGCGACGCGGGGAGAAGCGTGAGGGCGCCCAGAGGGATCTGCGGGGCGGGGCGCCGTCGACTGCAGCAGCGCGCGGGCGTTGTGCAGTCGGGTGCCAGTGCAGGGCTCGTTTCGATTCCTCCGATTCGATTTCGATGGTCTCCGATTCCGATTCGGTTCGACTCTGGATTCCGATCTGGGGTCCGGTTTCTCAACGGAGGCCTACTGGCCCGCCGATTTCCGACGATTCGACTTTTCCCGACTCGGCTGCCGATCTCCGCCGATCCGATCCGTTTCGATCGCCGATCCGACTCGTCGATTCGACTCTGGGCTCTCCTGCCAGTGTAGAAGGGCGTGGGGAAAATCACGGAGCGGTCACGAAGTCGTATCGTCGGAGCCAGGGCAGCTTTGCCGATGATTGCCGGCGCAATGCCAAGCGCGCGGAGGCGAAGTGCGGACATCCTCTACGGCGTCAAGATCACAGACTTTGGCCTCTCAAAGGCAGTGGTGGCCGCGCGATTGCGGCGATTGTTCGTAGTCTCAAGTCTTCCCGTAGTGCTTCTCCTTCCCGGAACCTGGCTCCCTAGAGGCTCGGATCCCTTTGGGGACCGGCTCTTCTCGTTTTTTGGACGGTCGCGGTGGCCCCGCGAGGGTCCGCTGGAGGCCGAGACTGGCCCAAATATCATCCGTCGTGATTTTTGGTGTTCCACGACGCGAGTAGCTCGGGCGTCGCGAGGAGCTCAGGGCCCATTTCGATCCGCTCGATCCGATCCGATATGGCTCTTCGGCCCGCTCATGCTCGGGCCTCTTTTGCAAAGAACTCCCGATATCATCATCAAAGGCGCCTCTTGCGAGTCTCCGACGCTCCCAGGAGGCCGAGCATCTGGCCCTCTCGGGGCCCGTCGAACAGGGTTTTGAGGCGCTGCGTGGGGCCCGGTGGGGTGGTCTTGGGACCTCGTGGGCTCTCTTGGGGCCCACGAAGCTAAGTACATTGGTGGCCCTCTTCGGCTCTTTTGGAGCACTATTAGGCCGTTTTGGGTCTCTCTTAGGCTGTTTGGGGAACCTCCTGGTCGTCTTGGGGCCATCTCGGGGCTCTCGTTGGACTACACTGGGCCATGTCGGTGCGGTTTTTATGCGCCCTCGGATGCCCTCTTGGAATCATCTTGTGCCGAAAATCCTGGCAGCCACAGAAGATGGGAACACAAAGGAAGCCATACTGGCCGCCTGGGGTTCCTACTGAGGCCTTCTTTGGGAGTCTAGGGCCGTCTTAGGGGCCTCGCAGGGCTTTGGGGGACCACTTTGGCTCATTCTTGGCAGTCTGGTCATTGTCTGGAGCCCATCTCGGGCATTATTGACGACATTTTGGGCCACTTGGGCCGTTTTGGGCGAAGAAGAATCGTGAAGTGTTGGGGGCCGACGAGTGGGCCGAAAGATTGATGCAGAGGTTCGGAGAGCCGAACCGAGGTCACTCAGTGCTAAGCAAGCCCAGCATCCCTGTGGAACCATGGGGTGGTGGATCGAAGACGCCTACGGCGAGCTACCGCCTTGAGGGGCTGGCTCCCACTGCTGTAAGCTGGCTCCTGGAGGGGCCGTATTGGGCCGCCTCAGGGCAGTCTTGTGACTCTTTTGGAGCCCCCTTGAGCCTTATTGAGGCTTTTTGGGGCTCTCTTGGGACGTCTTGGGACCCACTTTGGCAGTCTTGGGGGTTTCTTCGACCGTCAGGGGCCAGTATAGTCCGTCTTTGGGCTCGGGACCTTCTTGGGCCGTCTTGGGGCTCTCTTGGGCCGCACTGAGCCTCTATGGAAGTCTTCTTGGAAAGTCTTGGTGTTCTTTTTGGTCCTCTTGAGCCCGTGCTCGGCAGTCAGTCAGACGACTCCCTTGGGCCTCTCTTGGAGCGCTTTTGAATGCTCTTGGTGCGGTCTCGGGGGTCTATTGGGCCGTCTTGAGCGTTATGAAGCCCGCAAGGCGAGCATGCGAAAATCAGAACCCTGCGAACTGTTTTGTGCATGATGCCTTTTGCCACTTGAGGTCCTCTTGAGGCCGCGCTTGGGGCGCCTTGGGAACCCTCTTGGGCCGTCTTGAGGGCATCCTGGGCCGTCTGAGTGGCCGTCTTGGGCCACCAGCCGTTTCGGCGTCCTCGGAAGCAACGCAGGAGCGTCTTTCGGGCCACCTTGACTGCTGTCTGGAAGGCGGTCTTATGCAGGCGATTGTGGTCCCTGGCGCACCGGGCCGAAGGGCCGGTGGCAAGCTTTTGGCAGGGACCAGAACCGCCTTGACGAGTCTCGACGCTGGGCACCCCTTCGATGAATCGAGAATTTTTGCGGCGGATCCAGCGGCCTTCATCTCATCCCTCGAAGAACGAAAACTGCATAAACAACATTTCCCTGAGGTCTGCGCAGATTTCTTGGGTCGGCGCTGAGCCCCCCTGGCGGCTCCTCCAGTGCCGCCCCCAGGACGCTCGGCGGGCTAGGGAGGGGGGTCCAGTGCCGATTCAAGAAATCCGCGCGGACCTCCGGACGTGTATGTCATAGCGCATGTTAATGCAGTTGTGTTCTCCTCCGAAGGCGTGCGAGGACGAGGACGTGGAAGGCGGTTGCGGCCCCAGGTAGCTCAGTCTTCCAAAAGACTGCCCTCTTCACTGTGTCGCGTGCTCCTTCAAGAAATCCGCGCGGACCTTTGAGAATGTTTTATGCAGTTCAGAGGGGCCGAACGGTCACTCACTGTCCATTGCGTGCGTTTCCGCTACGAGCCACAGTCAATCCGCAAATTAAGGATGGGCAACCTTCCCAAGGGTACCCTTGCATCCTTGCCCTCTGGGTCCATCCTTGGCCGCTTTCGTTGGCCTTGGCCCGCTCGGGAAGCTTCGCAATGGGCGTCCAAGGCCCTTGCATCCTTACCGCGCATCCTTACTCTGCGGAAGGCCACGGTGGCTCAAGAGCGCCCTGGCAGGCCTGGGGATGATTCCCGCCGATGAGCGGTGATGTCTCTCGTTCCAGAGCCCCCCCGACCATGGCAGCGCTGCGCAGGGCCGCGCTGACTCTCGCGATGGCAGCGCTGGGCAGAGCCGCGCTGACTCTCGTGCAGTACAACCCAGCCTACGCGAAGCATGACCGCCTAGCCGATATCTCGGCCAACTTGAGAGCTGCCGATGTGATTGGCCTCATCGGCACACAGGTCCGACGACAACGAGCGGGCCTACATACGAAGAATTTCACCCGACACCATCACGCCATAGAGTGGGGATGGGATAACTCTCCATATGCTAACAGGAGCTGTGGAGTGACGTTGCTGCTGAAGAGATCACGGTTTCGTACTTCTCACATCACTCGCATCGAGCAGCCACCTGCAGGACTTCTCGGACGGGGAGCATCACTGACGTATTCTCAAGGAAAGATGCAGTGCAAGTTCATTTTAGCATATTTCCCCACCAGACCGAGAGCAGCGGACAAGAGTACATGGCAAGTCACAGTAGATAAGTTATTTCAGTGGTTAGAGTTCGAGCTGATGCACACCCCAGCAAGGGTCACACCATACATATTCGTAGATCTGAATGACGGCTTGGGCAACCCACACGGCCCAGACGACGCAGTGGGCCCCGCTTATCCTGACCATGAAGGCCGAGTGGGCACGCGCATGCACGAGATGATGAACACTCACCACTTGACGGCCTTCAACACACACTTCTTCGGCGCTGGTCATACCCATCAGGGCCCGCGAGGACATAAGACACGTATTGATTTCATTATCGGGCCCAAGGGCTTGTTGCCAGGGATCACAGCATGCAGCACATGGAGACGCACGGCGCTGAAGCTGCAAGTATCCAAAAAGTTTCCTGATCATACGCCCGTCGGCATCACCCATTACATCGAGGTCCCCACCGCACCGCTGCAGCGTGAGCACACAAAGTGGGACCTGGACAGAGTGGCCGCACTTTTACAGCGAGGCGAGGACCGAGCTGAATTTCTTACAGCGCTGGGTCAGAAGCTCATATCACATGCGAATGATTTTGCAGAAGCAGAAAAGGCAAGCACTCCAGATATGCACTACGCGCTGTTCCTGAATTGCGTTCGGGAGGCCGCTACACCCTTGTTCACGCGCAGGTACACCACGACCTCAGAAACCAAAGATATGATTGCTGAACGAGATCGATTGCTACGGGTCCGAGCCCAACTACGTCGCACACACGCCCTACGACCCGACAGTGCTATCCTCCCTCGGCTCCGCCGCCTCAGTGCCCAACTCACACTTGTTCGACGACGCAGAGTGGCACAGGCTAAGCAGCTCCGACAGGATTCTCTATTAGAAGCGCTACGCCGAGGGGACCACGCAGTAGCACATCGAATGGCCAGAGCACTCACATATGCAAAGGTGGGAGCAAAGAAGCGAGTATATAATACACTACTGACGAGATCGGCATCTTCCGAAGAATGGTATCAAGCGCTTTCCCAGGACGGCCCAGACAAAGGATTTCTAGCGACACGCACGCCAGCACCCACGGTGTACAAGTTCCCAGATGATTTGTATAATCCAGTCCATCAGCGACAGCTAGTGTTCGGCCAACGTCCAGGGACAGCTGGCCTTTCCCAGGACCTCCTGGAAGAAGCGCGTGAGCAGATGCAACGCACTCTACACTTACTACACAAAGCTAAACGGAGAAGATATGCACCAGAGTGGAGCATCCCCACTGAACTGTTCATCGTGATCGCTTCCCCGAACTACATGTCTCGACCAGCTCGGCCCAGCGGAGGAATCGGAGATGCACATGCGCCCGTGGGCATCCATTTTGACGGTGCCCGCATACGAGAGGATGATACGGATGAACTCCGCGCACGTGGACGTCGCCTCTTCCCGCTGGAAGGTATCGAGCACGCAGGAGAAGGAGCGAATCGTCTTTTCCGGATCCACGTGCACATCTGCCGAGCGGGTGCAGTACCGCAAGTGGCCAATCAGAGTGAAGTGTGCATCCTGTCAAAGACGAAGACCTTCACCCCGCTCCCGAGGATTCACTCCCCTGTGTACCTGAAGATATCCGCCGCGGGATCCGCGGTGTCGTGTTGCAGGCTCATACATGCGATGTGCGGGTACTGGCGGTGCTTCTTCAGAGCGCTCCTCATGTACGAGTGTGTCGCCTACCGCCCGCCACCGTGGGCTTGGGGAGGCCTACCACACCGGCGACGGGAAGCTGCGATCGCCATCCCCAGGATGCTTTTCTGGAAAGCAAAGGCGGCGAGACAAAGCTGTGTGGGACGCAGTCATGATCTAACGAATGCATTTGCATGTGGCACACACGCGCGCCGCTTCCACCAGATCAGCGAGTATGTGCCCTTTCACCTTCAGCCACTTTTTCGTCAGCGACGGGGCATGCTCAAGACTCGCCTCCGAGCTTTCGATGGAGATTTGTGGCTACGCATGGGCTGCGGCGGCCCAATGGGATGCAGCAACGAGCCCGAGCTCTTCATGAGAGACTACTACGCGCTCGTTGAACAGTGGAGGAGTTCAAGGGCAGCCACGACGTCGGCCCCATGGATGATCACGGACTTTCCTGAATTCGGCGACATCGACCCCAGCCTTGTGGGATTCATCGACGACTTGTTTCGCATGATGCTGCTGTCGCCTGGCACACCATCAGAGTGTATCGCCTACTTAAATGCAGAGGGTGACGCCTTTGATGAGTGGCTTCAGCGAGGAGGCTACAAGCAGAACCGAAAGAAAGAGGAGATCATCGTGTCCTTAGACACCCGCCAACATGTGCATGACCTTGCCAAGCACGGACAGCTTCCTTGTGTCCTGCTGCATACCCTCCGCCATCTCGGCGGATGGACGACGCCTGCCTGCGCGAACACGACCGACGTGGAAAAAAGATTGCAAAGCATGGCGATCGGGTGGTGTGCTTACTCAGGGGCCTGGGGGGACCCCAAGATCCCCAAAGATTTCAAGCGCCTTCTGTTCTTGGGAGTCGTCTATAATGCTAGCCTGAGCGGTTTGGAAGCCAATGTACTGACGAAGGGGGAGGAGGACAAATTCGACGGAGCTGCCGTACGCAAACTTAGGTGTATGATGAAGGGAGCGGCTTCCTGGACGGACCCCAGTGGCCAAATCAAACAGATGAGCAACACGGACGTCCTGAAGTACTGGAAGTTGGCCCCCGTTTCACTTGCCCTCAAAGTTCGTAGGATTACATGGTATAAGCATGCACTTCGTCATCGACATCAGTCTCGCCAGTGGTGGGCCACTTTATTAGGACGTTGCCGTTTCGAACGAGACCGCGACCGAGCTAATGAGCTAGGAGATTTGGATTTGCCAGTCGCCCCGCCCACGATCGTCGAGGGACGCATCAACATGAATCCAAAAGCGAACCCATGGGCCCGTCAGTTCTTCAAGGATCTCCAGGACCTGGCTGAGGATGAGGAGGCGAGGGAGTTTAACGTGCTCTGGGAGGATCGTCGTGTCGAAACACTGTTCCAGGAGAACGTCGTCACAGCCTTGAGAAATATCGACGAGCGACGCATGCTACGGAAATTCTCGAGTGCCGCTATTGCACCACCATCGTCGACACCACCACCACCACCACCTGCTGCCTTCAACGGGGGCGAGGGTCCTGGCGATTACATATGTGGGTTGAAGATGGAGGGAGGAGATATTTGCCAACATCGAGCTAGAACACGAAAAGGGTTGCTTGCACATCAGCGCTCAGCAGGATTGGGCGGCGATCACGGTCGGCCAAACATATTGTACCTGCTCACGATGTCTAATCGATGCTTGATATGCTCCACGGTGTTTAAGACGACACATGAAACATATATGCACATCAAAGAGTCCTGGAAACATTCACGATGTTATGCGACACGCACGAGATTCCCGTACGAGTTTATCGAACCGCCAGAACGCACATGTCCTGCGTGTTCCGTAGCCCAAGAATTCGAGACCTTTGAGGAGCTAGAGCGCCACCTTTTTTCGCACATACCGACACCGCCGTCTGGGGAACTACGTGTAGTGGTGCGTGATGGCGACGCCCGACTGGCTGCCCAAGATGCTGAGCGAGCCGATGGACACGGGCACGCCGCAGGCGACGGGCCGCCGCGCTCGGGAGGAGGGCATCGACGTCGAGGCAGCCGAGGGCCCGCGGCTGAAGGGAGGACGGGTCAGCCGTCCTCAGCGCCGCCAGCGCAGGCGCAACAAGGAGCAGCCGAAGGCCGTGCAGATGGCCGACGGAGGGATGAAGACCATGATACTGGTCATGCTGAAGCAGCTGATCATCAACACCAAGCAGCTGCGCGAGATTCGGGGCCAGCTGTACGATACATACCTCGTGGAGGCCAAGGCAAAGCCCGTGGTGTCCATGCATCAGGGGGGAGCCGCATACGCGGCCGCCGTGAAGGAGAAGGGCAAGGGCCACAACCTCGGCCCACCAGCTGCGACCGTCTTCGTCTACCTCCTGAAGGCGCTGATGGAGCTGGAGGTGGGGGCCCAGAATCGGAAGGGCCTGGAGCAACTGCTGCAGCGGATCGAGCACTTCGAACCGTGGGACTTGGTGCAGATGTGCCACGTCTGCCGCCTGGAGAAGTGCTACGACGAAGGCAAGATCAAGATCGTACTGGCCACACCCGTGGCCGAGGTGCGCAAGCTGATGCGCCAGTGCATGGAGCAGATCGGAGCGACGACGACCGTCGGCCAGGCTCCAGCGGGATACCTAGAGGAGGAGCTCGGAGCGTATGTGGACATGATCGGCTCGTCATGAGCCGCTCGAGGACTGCCGCCTGCGCACGTGCTCCCGCCAGGAGTCCGAGGAGGGGCGGCGGGGAGGTGGGGGGGGGAAGTCAGAGCTCTCTCGCGAGTTTCGGTTTCAGGCGGCGCCCTGATTGAGGGGGCGACCGTGGAAGCCCCGTTCTCAGTCCGTCGGGGGGCGGGCTTTTTTTTTACCCGTACCTGGGAACACGCTCTGGAGCGTGACAGCGAGGCGATTGCGAATAGTGCTGAGTGTCGAGCTTTTTCGGTTCACTGGCGAAACCAACATCGTGAAACGGTCCTCTAGGCTGCCTAATAATAAAAAAAAAAAACCTTACTCTGCGGGTTGACTGTAGAGAGGAAGCTGAGAGGGAGGGTGTATTGCGTGCGTTTCCGCTACGATCTATCGGGCATGCATCGCCGATTCCAGATCGGCGTCCCTCCCATCGAGCCAGTCCCCGCCCGCTGTTCTCACTCAGATGAGGCCAGCGCCAAGAAACGTAATAATATAACATCTATATTCATATACATATATATATATATATATATAAAGTATAACAATGAATAAAAGAAAGCAAAACAATGAGGCCAGCGCCAAACAACACACCGATTTGAACATAGACATTCGGAGGTCCGCGCGGATTCCTTGCATCGGCGTTGAACTTCCCCCCCCGGGGCCTCCGGCGCTGCTCCCCAGCGCGCCCCGCGCGCCAGGGAGGGGTGGCGGAGGGTCCAGCGCGGATCCAACAATTCCGCGCGGACCTCCGAGAGGTGATGCTCGGGTAGTTCCCCACATGCTAAGTGAGCTTCCTGCTTTCTCTGCCCCCCCTCGCGCAGGAACACCCACCTCCCTCTCCTCTCCCGTCCTTCCGCGCTCATCGTCTGCAGCATCATCAGCATCATCAACAGCATCATCATCATCAGCATCATCATCATCATCATCATCATCATCGTCATCGTCATCGTCATCGTCATCATCATCAGCATCAGCATCATCATCATCATCATCGTCATCATCATCATCGTCATCATCATCATCATCATCATCAACATCATCACCATCGTCACATCACCCTCCACCCTACGGGGTCCCCACTTCCATGTTCGAATTCGAACGGGTCATCCTGAACCTGTAACTGTCGTCACTTTCGGGCTCATCAGGCCTGAATCTGGAGGAAGTCTCGAGCGGGAGCCGCGTCCGTGAGTGAATCGCAGGGAAGTCTCGAGCGGGAGCCGTGCCCCCATGGGGTCCCCGCTTCCGTGTTTGACTCCTAGCGCTTATCCTGATCATGTGATAGTCGTCCTTTTCAGGCTGCTCCGGCCTGAATCTGCAGAAAGTCTCCAGCGGGAGCTTCGTCTGTCAGCGAATCGCGAGGAGGTCTCGAGCGGGAGCCCCTCCGTATGGGGTCCCCACCTCCATGTTCGAATCTGAGCCGGTCATCGGAATATTTGTATTTGTCGTCACCTTCGGGCTCCTGAGGCCTGAAGATAGAGGATGTCTCGAGCAGGGGCCTCGTCTGTGAGCGAGTTGCGAAGGTTGCGAGCGGGAGCCCCCGGAGTGTCTCAGAGGGCCAGAGGAAGCCCCAGGATGTTCCAGGAAGGACGCTTCAGGAACAAGGAGGAGCGATGAGTGAGGATGGGGAGGAGGAGTGAAGAGGAGGAGGAGGAGGAGGAGGAGGAGGAGGAGGAGGAGGAGGAGCTCTTTCCGAGCTCTTTCGAGCCGCCACGTCGTGGCACGCCCGCGCGGGCGCGCGGTCGGCGCGCGCGCGAGTCAGCGCTGCCCCCAGCGCCGCTCGGCCGACCTCGGCCCCTCCTCTCAGGCGGCTCCGCAGCCGTGTCCTTCTGCTGCGGGGCGGGGAGGACCACCTCTTCTGCCATCAGCTCCGTGTCGCGTGGCCCTCTGGTCCCGCCTCGCGGGCCGCTCTCCTCCGTCCAGCAGCCGACGAAGTTCGCCCAGCGCCAGGAGCGGGCCGACGGTCGCCGCTCTGGTCGGCCTGGCCTCGGGCGGCGGGCGAGCAGCTCTCCTCCTCTCCGCCTCCAGCAGCGCTCGCGAGGCCTCGCGTTGCGCTGCCTCCTCCTCAACTGTGTCCTCTGCGGCTGCTGGGTGCGCTGGAGTCGGTGCTGGCGTCGGTGCTGGAGCGGCGGCGGCGGTCGCGTCCAGAAGCCTCCTCACTACTGGTTCTTCATCTCTGCGTCGTTCGCTTTCTGACCTTTCGGGTTTCCTCTCTGGGGAGGGGTCAGGCTCAGCGGCGCCTCGCGTCCTCGCTGAAGCCTCCTCCTTCTCCGCCCTGCGCCTGGCCAGCTCGGCCCTCCACCCATTATCCCGCCTCGCGGGGCCCCTGGCCACACCTGGGGCGTTCAGAGGTGGGGGAGGGCCTGGCTCGCCTGCCTCAGCCTCTGCCTCTGCGCCAGCGGTGTCGCCTCGGCGCTTCACTCGCAGGCGACGGGGTGGCTCTTCCTGTATATTTCGCCAGGAAACACCACTTGTGCCCCCCGCCGCGTCGGTCTCCGTGATCTGGCTGCCGCTGGCCGCCTCCTGCTCCTCTGCCGCCGTGGCGCCTCGCGCCCTCACTGCAGCCTCCTCCTTCTCCGCCCTGCGCCTGGCCAGCTCGGCCCTCCACCCATTATCCCGCCTCGCGGGGCCCCTGGCCACTCCTGGGGCGATCAGAGGTGGGGAAAGGCCTGGCTCGCCTGCCTCAGCCTCTGCCTCTGCACTCGCAGCGTCGCCTCGGTACTTCACCCGCAAGCGACGGGGTGGCTCTTCCTGTTTGTTTCGCCAGGAAACACCACTTGTGCCCCCCGCCGCGTCGACCTCCGTGCTCTGGCTGCTGCTGGCCGCCTCCTGCTCCTCCGCTTGGGGCTCCTCCAGGAGGAGGAGGAGGAGGAGGAGGAGGAGGAGGAGGAAGAAGGAAGGAAGGAAGGAAGGAAGGAAGGAAGGAAGGAAGGAAAGACGGACGGAAGGATGGAATGATGGAAGATGGAGGATGAGGAGCGGGAGGAGTGGGATGTGTTGCGAGGAGCGGGGAGGTGACGGCGTGGGGGGGGGGACGAAGAGGAGAGGGGGGCGAAAAGAAGGGCAGGGGGTCCGAGGCGTTGATTTATCCATAACCACCGCCCTAGGGATCGATCTTCGGTGACCTCGGCGGGCGGTGGATATGGATAGATTGGAGGCCCTTGGGCCAATTGGGGCCAAAGTGTGTCCGTGTCCACCGCCCGCTGGAGTTCCAGTACGTCGGTTCCACCGGCGGTGGATATGGGTAGATTCCCGCCTCGCAGGACGGACGGAACGATGGATGGAAGGATGGAGGATGAGGAGCGGGGAGGAGCGGGAGGTCTTGCGAGGAGCGGGGAGGTGACAGAGTGGGGGTGGGGTGGGGGGACGAAGAGAGAGGGGGACGAAGAGGAGAGCAGGGAGGGGGGGGGAGGCCAGGAGGGCGAAGAGGAGGGCAGGGAGGGGGGAGGGGCAGGATCAGCAGCAGCCGCCCCACAAGGGCCAGCTCCGCCGACCGCCGCTCTCTGCTGTCCGGCGCACCGTCGCCGGTGACGCGCGGGGCCTGCGACGGCCCGACCCGGCCATGGCGCCGGCGGCGCGGGATGCCGAGCTGGGGGCCGAGCTGGGCGAGAGAGGCCGCGCCCCTCGAGTCCCTCGCTTCCTCCTCCTCCTCCTCCTCCTCCTCCTCGCTCCTCTCCTCGCTCCTCGCTCCTCCTCCTCCTCCTCCTCCTCCTCCTCCTCCCTCCTCCTCCTCCTCCTCCTCCTCCTCCTCCTCCTCCTCCCTCCTCCTCCTCCTCTCCTCCTCCTCGCTCTCTCCTCCTCCGCCTCCTCCTCTCCTCCTCCTCCATCCTCCTCCTCCTCCTCCTCCTCCTCTCCTCTCCTCCTCCTCCTCCTCGCTCCTCGCTCCTCGCTCCTCCCCCTCCTCTCCTCGCTCCTCCTCCTCCTCCCTCCTCCTCCTCCTCCTCCTCCTCCTCCTCCTCCATTCCTCCGCCTCCTTTCCTCCTCCTCCTCCTCCTCCTCCTCCTCCTCCTCCTCCTCCTCCTCGCTCCTCGCTCCTTGCTCCTCGCTCCTTGCTCCTCCGCCTCCGAGCGGCGAACGCGTCTGTCCGCGCGCCCGAGCACTTTGATCTGGAGCGGGCGCAACCCCCCAACCCCGGAACCAGCGCACCGCTCAGCGGTGACGTGCGCCCGCCAGGGCTCATGAATTCCGACACACGGGAACGCCAAGGCGAAGGCGACGATGGTGCGGAGCGCCGCGAGCACCAGCCCGCAGCAAGGGCCAGAAGTCGGAGCTGGCAGCCAGCAGCCGCCCCTCCAGCCTCCAGCGACCGCCCGGCCGCCTCGTCGCCCAGCCGCGCCGCGGCGCCTGGCCAGCAGCAGCGCGTTGGCGCCAGCCCCTGCAGCCGCCCCGCCGCCGTCAGGCGCCTCAGCGGCGAACCCTGGCCGTCGCTGCCCAGGGCCGTCCGCGGCCGCCGCGCCCAGTCAGCGGCGCCCAGGGCGCTGCGCGCCGGCCGTCCTGCGCGTCGTGTTGCGCGCTGGTCAACCCCGCAGTGGCGCCCCCGAGTCCAGAGTTCGGCTCAGCCTGGCGGCGCGCCTGAGCTGGCGCGCCACTTGGCGCTGCAGCGCGCAGCTGAGCGCCTTGTAGGCGCGCGCGAGATCCCCCGGTTGCGTGTCCTCGGGAAGCTCGCCCACCTGCGCGAGGAGCCACTTCCGTGCCTCGGCGCCCAGGCGGCCCGAGGACTCCAGGGCGAACGCGGTCATGCGCTCGCGGCTCACCCGGCCGTCGCGCCGCGGCCCAGAGCGCCGTCTCGTTGCCCGCCGCCGGGTGGCGCACAGTGACGTCCACCCACCAGGGGCTGTCCGCCTCCGCGTACTGGAGGTCCAGTGTGGCCCGTTCCAGGACCGTCGGGCCTTGCCTTTCCGCTGGCCGCCGCGCGCGGTGCCTGTCCCACGCTGGGGCTCGCTGTTCGTAGAGGGGCGAGCAGTTCCTCCTTCTCCTCCTCCCCCATCTCCTCCTCCTCCTCCTCCCTCTCGCTTGCCCTCCTCATCCTCATCCTCCTCCTGCTCCTCCTCCTCCTCCTCCTCGCTCTTCGCCTCCTCCTCCCTCGCTCCTCCTCCTCTCCTCCTCCTCCTCCTCCTCCTCCTCCTCCTCATCCTCCTCGCTTCTCCCTCCTCCTCCTCCTCCTCCTCCTCCTCCTCCTCCTCCTCCTCCTCCTCCTCCCTCCTCACTCGCTCCTCGCTCCTCCTCCTCCTTCTCCTCCTCCTCCCCTCCTCCTCCCTCCTCCTCCCTCCTCCTCCTCCTCCTCCTCCTCCTCCTCCTCCTCCTCCTCCTCCTCCTCCTCCTCCTCCCCCCCCGCACCTCCGTGCCCAGCTTCAGAGAAGAAAAAGGTAACCATACCGCTACCCTTCGGCAGTTTCCATCCTTTTTGGGCCTCCTGGGAGGCCCTCGTCGCCACCGCTGGATTCACTCCGGGACAGGTCCAGGGAGTAGTGGTATCGGTACCCGTTGGTTTCCCCACCATCGCTACCCTGGTGCCCGCTCCTCACCCACCTCCGCGCCCAAGTGGCCTCTCCTGGCACGTCTCCATCTAGATGATGGTTGAAGGCGCTGGGGGCGTTTGGTTTTCAGTTCTCAAGGTCGGCGGTGTTTGTAACGTTGTGGGGTCCGTTTTTTCCCGTGTTGGGAGTCTCGTTCTCGCCGTTTTGTTTTGCCGTTTCTTTATGTTTTGGGCGGTTGGTTTGTCTTTGTTGGTTGGCCGAAGCCTTAACAAGGAGAACGTCCCCAGCACTTCTAACATCAACTAACCCGCAGACGTCTTTAGAACCCCTCCCTTAAAGAAGGTGCAAGTATTGACGCTGTGCGTATCCCCACCAGCCCATCCCAAGACAACAACTTGTGCGAATCATTCCGATTGTCGTGGTTTTCGCGCGTACCTCCTCCTGCCCTCGGAGGAGGCGGCGGAGGAGGAGGCGGAGGAGGAGGCGGGGGAGAGAGAGGAGGGAGGAGGAGGAGGAGGAGGAGGCTGATAAGGAGGAGGAAAAGGAGGAGGAGGAGGCGGAGGAGGAGACACACATGACGAACAGAAGAGCCTCATCGGATGTCTCTTGTTTTTGTGTTGAGGCCTCTTGGAACGTCTGGGGGGGGCATCTTGGGTGTCTCTGGGATCCTCTGGAAGCCTCTTGGGGGCATCTTGGGAGCCTCTTGCAGGCCTCTCGGGCGCCTCGTGGAGGCCTCTTGGGCGCCTCTTAGGGCAGTCTTGGCGCCTCTTGGGGCCCTTTTGGGGCGCTTTGGGAGCCTTGGGAACGCTCTTGGAGCCATCTTGAAGGACATCGATCAAAAAAGAAGGGCTCCCCAATTAGCGTTGCCCTTCGGGAGCCCCAAACATGGTCTCTTGGGGCGCTCTTGGGGCGCTCTTGGAGCGCTCTTGGGGCTGTCTTGGGGCTATCTTGGGCCTCTCTTGGGACCCTCTTGGGCCATCTTGGAGCCATCTTGAGGTCTCGGAAGGCTATCGACAGCGAACGGGCGACGATGCACAAATCATTGATGTTTCTCCAGGTGTTTGAAGGATAGTTGCTTCTTGGAGGCCTCCTTGACGGTCTCGGGAGCATCTCGGAGCCGTCTTGGAGCAGTGTTGGGGCCTCTCGGAGTATTTTGGGAGCCATCTTGAGGCATCGCTATCTTGAGCCATCTTGGAGCTCATCTTGGGCTCTCAGAGACGCTCTTAGAGCCGTCTTGGGCCATCTTGAACGCTCCAACTACCAGCGGAACCCCCCGTCCAGGTCCAGGGAAGTGGCAGGGGAGGGGTCAAGCTACCCACCCGCCCGCAAGCCGTCTAGCTCACTCCCACCCGCCCTCCCAACACATAAGTAACACCCGAGCCTGAGCATGTTCAGCGGTCGTCTTGGGATGTGCAAATACTGGGAATCAAAGCCGACCCCAGGTGCGCGACGCTTTGGCGAGGTGCGCCACGCGTGCCAGGGGCGCCATGCGCGACGGGCTACCCTGGGGCCCGAGCGTGCCAGGCACGCCTGGTGCGCCAGATGCGCCACGTGCTCCGAGTGCGCCAGGTGTGTCGCGCACTCCAGCCGCGCCAGGTGCGCCACGTTCGGGGCACGTGCAGAGTACGTCAGGTGCGCCTGCGCACGTGACAGCACACATCGGAAAACATGTCGGACCCCCGCCATCCCTGTCGAAAACCAATGCCCATCATGTGGGCCTGCGCATAGCAGGCCACGCGCCACCACCGCTGCCGAGCAGCACCGAGCACGCCCCCAGAGCCTGTGCCTCTCCCCCCTCGCCACCTACCTGCACCCAGACTCGACGCCCAGCCCTTGTGGAGGCGCTTTGAATCATGGTTTGGTGAATTAGCTGCGCCAGAGGTCCGTGAACTCCAGCTGACCTGGCCGGAGCTGAAAGCTTATTCCATCAATCGGAAGCCAGCGTGGGCCTGGGCCCACATCAAGATCATAGTGGGCGGGTGGACGGCTACCCACAGAGTCAAGGTAGAGACGTCGGCTATGTGATTCTTCGGATGCCCTCATTGGCCAGATTTGTCCCCCACTTCCTCCCTTGCCCCCGCCCCCTTCGCTTCATGCCCCTTGTCCTTTGTCCGCCCCCCGCTCCCTTCCGATCCCGTCATTCGCATCGGTCTTGCGCTCCCGCCACTGTATACCTCCCATTTCGAGCGAGAGCACGCCCATGCGTTCACAGTGCTAACAGAATGCGGCACGTTGCATTTCAGCCCCAAAGTGTCTCATCATATTCACTTACTGCGTGCCTCCCGAACTGCCATCAAAATGTAGATGAGTTCTGCACATGCTGCGCCTCGAGCCGCTCCACCTCCTCCTCCTCCTCCTCCTCCTCCTCCTCCTCCTCCTCCTCCTCCTTCTTGTCTCCCTTCATTACCCTCATTCCACTTTTCTGCCCTGCCTCCTCCCCTGCTCCTGCTCCACCGCCTCCATCCAAGCTGCCCGCCCTCATCTCGTTCGCCCTCTTTCTCACCCCGCCTCGCCCAATCTAGGGACCCTCGGCCAACGAAGACGTCCCTAGAGGAGGGTCCAGCGTACCTCCACACCTTTACAACTGCCCATGATGGCGTCAACTGCCACCCCCGCGGTTTCCCTCCCTCCTGGCCCTGGCCCCCCCCCGGCCGGGCAGACGCCGTCTCTCTTCGGCCCCCCCCGTGCCACCGGGGTCCGTGCGCTCTCCGCACGCCGCACGCTCTCGGAGCGTTCCCGGGGTCGCGGCCGGGGACGGCCGCGGCGCCCGACACGTCGCCCTCGAGCACCGCCAGATGTCGGGGGGTGGACAGACCTCCTACCCTGACACGTCGACTAAGGAATTGGCCGTTGTCGGTTCGCGAGAGGGCGTCGCGGCCGTCATTTTGCGGGTCCAGGTCCGTCGACTTCGGTCCCAGGCCGTTCTCACGAAGGGGAGGTCTACCAAAGGAAAGTTTGTCCACCGCCGAAGATGTCAAAGGTCCCCCGATGCACCGGGCGCTTCGTGAGGGGGTGGGCGGTAGGATCGGGGGGGGGGGTCGGCGGGCTGCAGGAGAGGGGCCCCGAAGGAGCCCCCCCCCCCCAGTGGGGCCCCGAGGGTGCGCGGAGAGGACGCCCTCCGTCGCCACCGTCGCTCCGCCCCGTCCCGGTCCGTGGCCTCGGGCTGCGCCGGGGGGCTCCCGCGGTCGCCTGCCGGGGCGCGCCGGCGGAGGCCGCGCCGCGGAGGGGCGGGGCCGGATCGCGGCCCTCGGACGGCGGGGGCCCCTCGGGGGCAACGCCAGGGGGAGGCCCAGAGAGTGGCGAAGCGTCCTGGCTCGCCCATGGGCCTACCAAGTAATGTTGTACTAAGAACATGTTGTGGTCTGCACGAAATGTTCTCAGAACATGTCTGGCCAGGTCTGTCCTGTTTAACACATCGGGCTTCTGTTCTGAGAACCTTGTTATTCTTCTTGGGGTATTATTGGGTTCTGGAAAGTATTCGTGGTAGGCGTATAGAATGCCGGGACGGTCGGTCCCTGCTCATGAGACAGGCTCAGGGAAGCATGCGTCGACCCCCAGTGGCCCAGTGATCGCTCATGGATCACCCAGCCTGCGACGCATCCAGCTCAGCGCCAACGCCGACCGCCAGCAGACGCTGCTGGTCCACCAGCTAGTTTTCGCCCGTATCCATCGGGCGCAGTCTTCATCATCGAGCCTGCTCGAGGGAGAGACGCGAGGGATGACACCGATATGGGCCCGACAGCCCACCCCGCCAAGGAGCGTGCGAGTACGCCCACGTATCGGCGTTTCCCCCCTCCCTCCCTCTGCCCCCCAGGACCCCATCCTGAGCTGGCCCCTCCGTAACGTCGCTCCTCAGCCTCGCCAGAGCAAGCGGGTGCAGGGGCGGAGCGCTCTTGGCAGGGAGGTTCGTGCTGGGCGACCTCGGGGGGTGGGTCTGGGAGGCTGGGCTCGTCCTTTCTGGCGGCCTGGTGCGGTGTGAGTGGCGGGGGAGGTTTTTCTGTTTACTTCAGACCGTTGTACGCCACAGCTTGACCTGCAAAGGCGCCAGGTCGGCGCAGGCGGGCCCGATGCCCAAAGGAACAAGACGTGCGAGCGTCTTCCGCTCCCAGCGCGGCCAGTCGCCACGCCCAGAGGTATAGGAGTAGGAGGAGGAGGAGGAGGAGGAGGAGGAGGACGACGACGACGACGACGAAACGGATACTTAAAGGCAAGAGGAGAGGGGAGCATCACCTTGCAAAGCTGGGTCGACAGGAAGTTGGGCTGGTTCATTTTGGAGCGAGCCGCAAAAAGGCCTGCGGAAGTCGCCTGCCAGACGAAGTGTGATCTGGCTGGGGAGGATCGTCGCATTGGAAGGGGAAGTGAGGTGGAGAAGTCAGGGTGGAGGGCTAGCACGGCTTGTTGGGCCGCTGGTCGCCGTCCTAATAAGCCATTCTGGCCCGGCCGCCGTCCAACAACCTAACAAGCCGGAGGGGGAGAACGAGGAGGGTGGGAGGGGAACGAGGATGCACGAGGATGAAAAGGAGGCGGAGGAGGAGGGGGAGGAGGAGGGGAACAAGGAGGAATTTGAGGCTGAATATAGAGGAGAGGAGGAGAGGAGGAGGAGGAGAGGAGGAGAGAGGAGGAGGAGGAGGAAAGGAAGGAGGAGGAGGAGGAGGAGGACGACGACGACGACGACGACGACGACGACGATGAGTAGCAGGAGGGGGTCATGAGCAGCGAGGAGGCGCAGCAGCAGCTGGGAGAGGGTCGCACCCCGCAGGCGCCTTGATGGAGCAACAGACCCTGCTCTCCGACGGCGGCGAGCGGCCCGCGGCCGCGGGGCACCCATGGTGGCCGGGCGAGCAGACGGGGAGGGGGGTAATGCGGGGATTGGGGCAGGAGGAAGAGACGCAGGAGGGGGCAGGAGAGGCAAGAGGAGGAGGAGGAGGAGGAGGAGGAGGAGGAGGAGGAGGAGGAGGAGGAGGAGGAGGAGGAGGAGGAGGAAGCAGCAATCCATCAACACACGCACACACATGTGTATATGCTTATTTCAATTGGGCACTTGCCGCTCACTACCAACACGGCCGAGGACGGCATGCAAGACTAACGACCACAACACGAAACGTTGACAGACGACACCAACATTGCGACAGTTCCCTTTGAGTTGGCTACCTACGCTCAAAGGGAAAACGGGGACGCAACCAGTGAAGGACAACAGCCACACGCCTGGACTACCTTGTGCCACGTGTCGAGAGAAGAGCACATACGAGCACAAGCGCTTCTGCTGAAGGTTGGATACAAAAGGCCAGGAGCGTTTACAGCACAGCAGGCACGTTCATGCAGTTCGCTACGCCACAGCACGCATCCAAACTTGGATGCAGTCTACTTGTCAGCACAGCACTTTCACATGCGACCACGTCGAAATCACAGCGTGAATTTAAGTACAACCGTTCCCGCGTTCTGCATTCATTGCGCCGACGTCTTTTTACCAAGCTATGTGCACCGCTCAAAAGCGAGATGCCACATGTGTTTCACGCGCCTCATGTACAACACGACACAACACACAACAGTATGGTGGGACACGTTTTGCGAATTAGTCAGCAAGTGGCCTCCCACCATATTGCTGGCTGGGTTCAGTGTGCGCATCAACATGAGCATTCCACCAGGCATTGTCGACGTCGCACCACCTACGCACCAGCAGCCAGGAGATGACAATAACGCAACGCATGTACGTCCCACGACAGCAGCACGGCCTCACATTCGCAAGCACGGTTACCAACCATGAACCAACACACGTTAGTGAAATATACGAACGGCAGGGTAATTAGCATAGTAGCGACAACGCAGCAATCAGCAGCGACTGGTTGCCATTCGTAACCGGCTTACACATTGACTACCAGCACGATTCAGCAGCACAGAACGCATGCCATTACCTGGCCTACCGACCCATTTGAGCACAACCGACAGCACGCACGATCATGGCAAACGCAGCCTTCACCATGCGATCTGACAAAGGTGCAGGAGCCAGTGCTACACGCACACTTTCCCGACCCACTCGACGTCCAATCAATTCCGCCCTGAGGCGCGCTAGTCAAGGACCACCACCGCTACGCGATAAACATATTGCACGCTGCAGCCGAAGAGCGCTTCCGTGCTGATGATTTCTCACCGCGCCAAGCATGCATCGGCACGGACACAATGAAGCTGGTAAGACCACGCAAATCTGCAATCGCAGCACTACAACCAGAGCGACAGACGAACGCGAGGTCCATGATACACAAGCTCAGCCAGGACATCGAGCAGTACTTGACGGGCAGACCAACCGACCAGCACATGCGTCAAGTACACCTTGCCCTCTACACGGCTACAACCGACGGTGTCAGCTGTGCAGAGCAAGCACTTCGATTTTTCCTTGCTTAGGCACGCACGCCACTAGCATCTCACATCAGCCAAGAAAGGGCAAACCACGTCGCGGCCTTGCCGGGCTCCTTTCAACGCTTGCAAGAGTTGCGCAAACGCAGGACAGTATGACAACGCCCTTAAGCTGGAATGCGTTCTGGACCAGCCACAAGAATCGAGGCAACTAGCGCACAATCGACGCCTTACTTCGCGGACGAGATGGGCACGGTCTACGAAGATGGCCAACGACAGGGCGACGAATTCTCTCGGCAGACTGCATGGCGAGACGAAATGGCAATCGCGCGCAACGGCGGCATCGCGAAGTTCTACAACGACGCACCACGCCCTCCATTCACACCAACGCCACTCGACTTTGCGATCGCACAACCGCGCGCCACCATGCCCATCAAAGACGTCAGACGCAGGAAATAAGTTTGATCCAGCAGAACCCCGACTGCACTCCTCCAAGCAGCACGCACATGCACAGCAGGCCACGTGCGCCCATTGCTCCTCCAGGCATCGCCGACCCAGCAAGCGCCTTTACTATGAAGGCGCGGCGCAGCACTGCCATTGAAAAAAGGCCAAGGAACCACCAGTGAGGCCACCCGGTGCCGATCCATCCTCATGGCTCTTGAGAGTCTCAACGCCTTGCTGACTACACCACTACGGCCCACGCTATGCGGGGGACTGCCAGGGGGGCCCGCAGCTCTTGCAGCACGCGCAGCCGCTCTCGCGACCGACAGCTTCCGCAAAAACAAGTGCAGTTCGATTCGTCACTGCGCCGATCTCATCGCAGCGATTCGCGCTGCGGTCAGCGAAACAGTGTTTGGAGAGCGGGCATCGCGGCCCAACGGTGCAGAATACTACCTGCGCAGCAACTTCCTAGGCGGTGCGCCGGGTGACGAGTGAGCGAGCAGACCTCGCGTCAGTCGCAGCAGCGCGCTTCGAGAACAACGGCCTCAGGGGCGACATCAAGGTCCAATTCGCTGATGCGGTTGCCACTTGCCACCTATTATACCGGGCGGCAACTTAAAACCCACGCATCAAAACGACTGCAGCTCAGCTCAACGCAGCTAGACACCACTCATACCGCAGCGCCACACTATGGCATTTTCCGCTGCCTTGCGGCCCACATGTGACCGAACAGCGACTACACGTCATGGCACAAAGCGTCGATTATGATACGTAATTGCAACCAACGCGGCTCACCCGCATTACTATTCACCGCGCGCGTTACTACTCACTCAGGTGGCTCAAGGACGCATCAAGACTATTCACCAACGTACCGCGCAAACTCCAACGACTCTTTTGACCTCGCGCGCGAGCAGCTTTCACCATTACCACTACGACAGGCACCCCTTCAACCTGGATCCAACTCATATAGCCAGACCGGGGTGTGAGATCGAGGTCGGCTCGGGGAGGGCAATCTGGCGTTCTTCGCGCGCGTTGGACGTGCCTGCGCGCCCTGTGGGGGGTGACTTTGGATGTTCTGTGTGTTGTGGTCGACGGATGGTCTCGCGGTTCCTGGAGGTTGTCCTTCTGGCCTTGGTCCGATTGCAACCTTGGGCCCGCGTTGGCTTGCCGCCGCGACCGCGGGTGCAACCGGCCCGAGCGGACCGCGGATCACGGCGCGATGGCGCGGGCGCGCGCGCGACGCAACCGCGTGCGACCTGCGGCAAGTCGGACAAGGCCAAGCTCAGAGCGCGTATCTCATGCGCCGACCAGCGGCGAACAGCCATATGGCCGCGTCACTTTCGGCCGCTCCGCTAGACTTTGACCGTGCCGATCCTGCTCCAGCTCCGCCGCGACCGCAGACAGCGCGCGCGCGGGGCGAATGCGGGCGCGCCCCGACCTTGAACGAAGCACCAGCAGCCAGACGACATCGCCAACGGAGTCAGCGACGGCACTCGGGACTTCTGCAAGGCGCTTTATTCCTAGATAAAGCGACCCATTACGCGCCCGCGCCCCAGCGCAACACGCTGCCACAATTATTGCCTAGAGCAAAGGCCGCCCATTCAGCCCGGCGCGATCCAAGCGCGACAGCAAAGCGACCATATAGACACGCGGGCCAGCAAATGCAAGGGGTTGCGGGCGCACGCAGAAACGACCCCAGCGACCAGGCCAGCTTGACACAAACGACGCGCCCGCGCATATTTCAGCGCCCATGCCACCAATTTTGACACTTGGGCCGCAGCATGTAGCCCGCCAGCCTTCCCGAGGTAACAAGCGCCGTCCCACCTACATATGTTCCATCGCGGCATGCGCTGCAACGAAGCTCCAGCATCGCATGGAACGCAGCCACGTCGCACAAACGTACGTGTGCATCAGTCTTGGTTACGATGCCGACTCGCCTCTGGACTCAGCAGTACCAGACGCCGCCGACACCTGGGTCCAGCGCGTTATCCACGGGCACGCAGCGGCAATCGTCGCCAGACCACCTGACGACACATGGACAGCATGTACGGCGCATCGGGAAGTTATTGAACTATGGGGCATGCCCATTCATTCGTACGGGCAGCTCATACGTAGAAGGCTATCTAACAGACGTTCAACGTTTGACCATGCTCCTACTTGTTGCCAACATCCCGAAGCCTTCTGTCATATCATTCCCTAGGCAGCCCAGATTGCATTCAAGCGCCCCCATCGCATGTCAAGCACTTCAATTTCGACAACTAGCATCACGCTCACAAGTTTCGATTTTGAACCGTGCACTCTCGGCAAATCGGCAGAAGCACCTGCGCGAGCAATGGCGCTGAACCTTCCCACGTAGGTGACAGAGGTCTCGTCGAGACATTGTGGAAGCAGCTGGCGCTGCTCATCGCGCAATCCCAGCGGCCCTACTACCGCGGCAGAATCTAACAGACCTCTGCGAGGTCATGGCGGCGAACGTAGCCGCAGCATTCACGCGCCGCGCAGATGCCGCGCCGCATCGTGACTTCACAGGGCACACACCTTTGGATAAGTGCTTAGACCAGCGCCCGCGCGCCAGAGCGCGGCCCGCGCATGCCGCATGAGCCGAATGACCTCTCAACCACGGGGCGTCGCTGAGCTCCCGCGTAGAGCTATGCCCGCCATCGGCATCGCGCGTCAGCGCAACATGTGGCCGCGCATCGAGACCTACATCAAGATTGCGCCCCGCAACGCCAGCATTCGCATGACTGCCGGCATGCGCCGCGATCACTGGCTGCAGCGTCGAGCACAGACGACGGCATTCAGGCGTCGATAGGGCCAGTCTGCCCGCCTCGTGCCCGGCGCGGGGGCCCTCTGGGGCATGCCCCTCGGGGAGGCCTCAAAGGGCGTGCGCGCGCATATTTTTTAAAAATCTATTTTTTGTGCAAGCTTACATCCAACATTGTCCTATGTGAAGACTGCGTCTCTGACCAGCCTCTTTTACACTTGTCTTGCATATTTCAATTCAGCTGAGATGCGTGTCTCAATTATACGCTGGCTG